CCAAATGGGCGCTGTACCAGTAGGATTTGAATCTGAGGAGATGATATGAGTATCAGCTGTTTTCCAATCATTCCATTAGAATTCTCTACAAATATGAACCTTTTCAGCAAAGTATCTGTCATTTTCCCTGCTGTGCGCAATGCTTCGGCCACTTTTAGGCATACTGGTATGTATTATTATAGATGAAACAGGCTGCACCATGGTGATTTGTCTCGCCTGATGTGACTTAAGTACGGTGTTAGTACGAACATTGTTTCTTCGCATCATCAGCTAAGGACTTACAAGGTGATGCCCCCTCGTTAGCAAAGCTGGTTTATAACATGTTATAACTAGGTTGACTTGGGTTTATGGGGTGTATAGCCGATGGGGTTTAAACAGCAAAGTAATAACTGGGGGGGGAACACTTTTCGGCCCAAGTGGTGGGACCCCAAATTTCTGATCGTTAAACCAAGGTTTCCATCGAGGCTATTTAATATTGGGGTGAAGGGGTTAAGTTGATGTTTAGGGGCAAGAAAGTGAATTGTTGATGGATAAATCGTCGAGAGAGCAAAATTTGGCTGGTTAGATTGTCAGAGGGCAGATAGAGGGTAGATGCCGGTTCTCAGCCATGATTTCTTTACAGAGATCAAACCACCAGGAGGGCTCAGTCTAGGGATTTAACGACTATGTGTGAAGTCCCAAGTCTCAGTTCATCATTGAACTTTTTTCCTGAGGACTACTTCAATCTGAATTTGGAAAGGTACTGGCTTATTTGTTGAGCTTTCTTGTGTGAGAAGAGTTGGTTCATATCCAGATGCGGCCGATCCTTTGGCCGATCCTTTTTGCAAGGCACCTGTGGTTAGGGGTGTTGTTCTAGGATGTTCTAGGCATATATCCAGCGCCCAAAGGTTGACTTGTTGTTGTGTATCAGTTACTAAAGTTAACATAGACCCGGGCAAGCCGGCGGCGGAAGTTTCCCAAACATAAATGACCTATAGTTCAAAGACAACCTGTCCCGACCGTGTCCTTCCCTCGACACTCCACACCTCACACTGCACTCTTCGCACTCCAAACTTCAAACTTCACACTCCACACTTCACACTTCACACTCCACACTTCTCACTTCTCACTGCTTCCTTCACACTCCAAACCTCACACTTCACACTTCACACTTCACACTGCGCGCTTCGCACTCCAAACTTAAACTTCACACTCCACACTGCACACTTCACACTCCACACTTCACACTTCTCACTGCTTCCTTCACACTTCACACTTCACACTGCACTCTTTACGCCCCACACTTCACGCTGCTCTAAACCTACGTGGAACAAAAAAACACTAATGCGACAAAATGGAGAAAATCTGCTGACAAATCACTGTGGCAGCCTTCATGCAGCCACTCCAATACGATTTACGAAGTCGAGCTGCAAAAGACAATAGTATTACGAATGCAGCCACAGCACGAAGCAACCTTGACGCAGCCATTACAATGCGATCTGCAGAGACTGAGGTGCAAAACACAATAGAACTACGCGCAACGGCGTCGGAAATTGTAGCTCCAAAACCGGATCTCGACGCCAGAGCGAAAAAAAGACGATTTTGAAGCACTTTTTAAAAGGATTTTTAGAAAGACAATCACTAGCGCCAAAATGGAGAAAATCTGCTGACAAATCATTGTGGCAGCCTTCATGCAGCCACTCCAATACGATTTACGAAGTCCAGCTGCAAGAGACAATAGTATTACGAATGCAGCCACAGCACGAAGCAACCTTGACGCAGCCATTACAATGCGATCTGCAGAGACTGAGTTGCAAAACACAATAGAACTACGCGCAACGGCGTCGGAAATTGTAGCTCCAACGCCATGTGTCGACCGCACATGCACGAAACACAGGTGAAACCCCATTTACAATGCGGAACCGATCCGACCATGATCCAACCATGATCCGACCATGATCCGAGCATGATCCGACCACACACGAGACCGTCTCGCACCTGTCGCACCGCAGAGGTAGATCATCGAGGTTCGGGGACGGACTTTGTATGGAAAAACATAGGGTTTCGTGCATCTGCTATCTCTCAAAAACGCATTTCGTGTGAGACCACCTTCAAAAATCCAACTTGAAGATGTCATTTACAATTAACTCTGTCCCTCACTAACTCTTTCTTTGACTAACTCTTTCCCTAACTAACTCTTTCCCTCACTAACTCTTTCTTTGACTAACTCTTTCCCTGACATTCTAAAAGTTACAATTAACTCTGTCCCTAACTAACTCTTCCTTTGACTAACTCTTTCCCTGACAGTCTAAAAGTTACAATTAACTCTTTCCCTAACTAACTCTTTCCCTCACTAACTCTTTCTTTGACTAACTCTTTCCCTGACATTCTAAAAGTCCGTAACACGGAAGTTTCTCCCCCTAAACTTCCTTTGACTAGAGATTTACCCTGTTGTTCTTTTGAGGCTTTGGGTGAGTTTTCCTCGACATAAGCGCAGGTTTTGGTGTTCTTCTGTGGCGGCTTAAGTCTCTCCGCCTCTTGGTGCATGACGGACGGGCTTGCTACAGGAATTTGAAGATCATTCCGCTTAGCGTACATATAAATCACATATATATGATATATATGTATCTATCTATCTATATATATATATATTGATATAGATATATATATCTTTATATATATATATTGATATATATATATATAGATATATATATATATATAGATATATTGATTTATATTTATATATATATATAACAATTTATCTATCTATCTATATATATATATATATATAAATATATATGATATTATATATATATCATATATATATATGATATTTTATATTTATATATCATAGATATAAGTATATATATGATATATATATATATATATCATATATATATATCATATATATATATATGATATATATATATGTGATATATATATATATCATATATATATTTATCTATCATATATATATATATATCATACATATATATATATATATATATCATTTTGATATATCATATATATACATATATATATAACGTTTATTTATGTGTTATATGCATTTACATATATATCATATAATTTATATATCTATATATCATATATCATATATATATATATTTACATACCTTTATATATATATTTATATATATCATATATATGTATATATATATATATATCATTCTCTCTCTATATATATAATATATGTATATATATATCATATTTATATATACATACAGTATTTATATCTATATTTGGTTAGTGTTTGTTTTTCACATTTACTGATTCAAAACAGATGGGTTGTCCGAGGCCAAAGCAGTGTTTTAATGGAGATGTGATGATCCATGCGACCCATGGTGAATCACCAAAAGGCCACAATAAATGGTTGGTATAAATGATCCCCAAATGGTAGGTTCATTGTTGGTTTCACCACATAAGCCATACAGGAAGGCCCCGCTTTCAGAGCCATGGATTGTTGCAACTCTGACTTAGGAGATTAAGAACATACCAACTTTGGTAAATAATCTAATGTACTAAGAACCAATCTCCTAACTATATGCTAACTTTGTGTTAGAACTCTAACTTACTGCTAACCTGAAAAACACTGGATTCAAAACTGGCAATGAAACATGCCGCATTTGTTGTCTACCGCCCAGTTATAAGATGGAACAAAAAAAACATGTTTAGCTAAAGATTCATATCCACGACAAATCCCCCAAAGAAGAGGTTTAGCCCGAACCAATTTTGCAAACATAAATCAAACCACTAAATCCCCACGTTCTGGGCCCCCTTTCACCTGAGGTGGCAGCCTGCTCCGCATCTTCGAGTCTGTGCAGTGCCACGGTCCTTCGAGGGTTCGGTGCAGCGGAGAAGGTTCCATTTCCTTTAAGGTAAACCATGGCTACATCATTTTGAAATCTGGGGAATTCTAACAATTTCACGTATTTCACGTAGCGTTGCAAATTACAATTTTGAATAGAATATATAAGACAATGATTTATATACAACTGCACCATTGTCCGTAAATTACGAGAGGTAACGTTCATCGTCCTCCATGTGGTTTCAACGAGCGGCTCCCCGAATTAAAGGATGGGAACATTGAAACCGGATCCGCGATCAATTGGTAGGGAAATGCCAGTGTGGATTTGAGTATATCTATTGATATTATCCTTATGTTGAATATCAATCTATATCTGGTATGTTTTCAATTTTGGATATCAATCTTTACACCACCAAACCCTTGATATAGACCTCAAATGCTTGTATCTTTCCACGAATTCAAGGACCAATTAGTTGATTAATCTGATTATGTCATATGATTTGGTTTCCTGAACCATTTGACTTTGTCTGAAAGTATCCTATCTCATTCCGGCCACTGGTTTAGAGCATTATTTTGCCTATAAGAATGAACATAAAAAGGTGGTATACAGGGGGATACCCCATTGTCCGATACACGTGTGTGTGTGTACCTAGAATCTAGACATTGATGGGGAGTCATTTTCAGAGATGCAATTTGATTCAATGTGTGTAGGCCATCATGTTAAGAACTACTGTATGCGTTTAGGGTGCTGCATAAATGTATGCATGTTTGTTTTTTGTTAATGTTTATTGACATGACCATTCACACATGCAATATCATAGGTACTTCTAGCGTTTGTGTAAACATGCCTCCAGCGAGAATGGCCACGTCCTGGTGACTTCGAAATTAAGAAGTTTTAGGATCCTGAATGTTACTGTAGGGAATGAATAGTTCACAACTGTGCAGTAACTATAACCTGTTAAAACCCTCCAGTAAACTAGCATAGAATTGAACCATCCACCATTTGTAATTAGATCATGTTCTTAGAGAAACTAGGGGATGTCCATTTTGTTCTGAGCCACTCCGAAGATCAGTCGCAGTTGCCAAGGTATTTGTCAGGTGGGCTTCTTTGTCTCCTCCCCTGCTACTCACATTTGCGGCTTGTGCACGTTCCTCGGTTCCAAATGCTCCAAACCCAGCCCCAGCGTGATCCGCCATGGATTTTGCTTTTCGCAAGAGGTCTGGGGGTCGGGTTGGAAGAAAAGATCTTAAGAATTCCTCAAGTTCACGTCGGGGGTTCCATAAATAAGGGGTACCCCAGAAGGAATGGTTTATAATAGAAAATCCTATAATGGATGATTTGGGGGCACCACCATTTCAGATATGTTGTGCCATGTTGTTGTGTTCGCGCACCATGGCAGGCTCTTTTGACGTTTTGATGTCAAAGCATGATTACATGTCAGCCTGTCAGCAGTATGTTTTGTGTGATTTTATCCATCTAACCGCAGGCCATCCTATGCAAATGATAGGGAACATCGTGTAATTTCTTGCTTTTCTGGGGACAGGTTGATGGATAGAGACAGAGAGTTTTCTGCATTTTGACCGTTACTTGATACTTGTGTAAGTCAAGTGTCTGTAGCGGTCCCAGAAAAGATGAAAAGGCCAGACGTCGGCAATACGTTTCCTTTTCTTTCCCAGTTTCAGCATTGTTTTGGCTGGGAGCATTGTTGTGTTCCTGTTGTTTTGATCAGAAGGTGTCGGAAAATAGACTAAGCAGCCACCAATGCAAAAGTGGAAAGTGCATGAAATTGCAGAATATTCATTTGAGTTTACCGTACCAGTAGTTTGTATATTTCCGTACGAGGAAGTCAAGGGCCATTTGTTTTATTGTTTGGTATGATGTGATCATTTGAACTGCAACTTGGGTTTGTTTGGAAACGAGGTACCCCCAAATCTACTGACTAATAGCCATGTTCATGCATTTTCTTTGTTGACATGGTCTTGAAATTGGGGGTACGCCCCATTATCAGACACTCCCGAAGATCATAATATTGTTGCTTATATATCTGCAAGAAGTATCCCCATGATGTCCCCGCAAACTTATAGGTTTATATGGTCATATCATATCCGCATTTGTATTATTGTATTGTACCCTTCCAATAATTAGTGATGTATACATATATAATATAATATATATATATACATGTTTCCACAAGACATCCCCGCATTATATTTAAAGTAGATGGGTTTCCCATGAACATCATTCAAGTATATTAAAATGATTGTTGTCCAATCAAACATGATCAAAATCACGTGATTTCCCCACAAAAAGTTGGTGATTTCACCAAACCACGTGCTCACGAGGCAGCCGACGTACCGCCTGTGGCAGCCCTTCCGGGGTGGGCGGCTACACGTTGTCTTCCAGGGCATAGGCACGGCCGGATGGAATGCGCTTCCCTATTTTGAGACAAACCCATAGTCGTACAATTATACATATATAAAATATCTGCGTGTATGTGACGTGTATATAGATATAGATGTATATTAAATATACATACAGCAATATAATCTAATTGTATATATATATAATTGTATATGTATCCACTCTTCCGCACACATATGCATACATTTGTTTAAGACTTTTCTATATATATATATTATATATATGTGTGAATCGAACAAAGTGGAGGCTGTTGATATATACAGTAACTAGGTGGTAAGTATGGCTATGAAGCACCAGGTAATGATGTTATCCTAGTTGTATATGCATATGGGATGTTTTTTCCCTGAGCGATGCACATGCCGGCTCAGGTCGCTCACGCAAACCTGCCAGCAAACCTGCCGAAAAAACACATACTAGATATATCTGTTATTAGATAGAAAAATATGTTTTCACATAGATACATTTATTTTCATAGATAGATATGTAGATGATAGATAGATAGATGGATGGATAGATAGATAGACAGACAGACAGACAGATTGGATTGACACACGAATGCTATATATATATATACGTATTATTTATTTGTACATTAGATGCATTAATGATATTTGAGATACATTAGATACATTGGACACATTGGATACACTAGATACATTAGATACATTAAAGAGATAAGTTTCTGTTTCTCGATGCATATTAAATACTGTATAATATATTGATATTTGCATACCCAGATAGTTGCATATATAGATGCCTGCATACATGTGTACACGCGCACACGAGTACGCCCATGCATTCCTAAATAGAGCATACGGTACATACGGTACGCTGTGTGCATTCTGAGCTACGTTTCATACCTGAAATCTGTGCGGTAAGCTGGAACACCACGAGCATGTAGTGTGTGGATGATGGTGTCTACAGCAATCCACTTTGTAGGATGGGTAAATCATTAGATATCATAACTATGAAGTTTCAAAACGGGCCCTAATAACCATAGCTATTAAGTGCTTAAAACCCAACTGCGGCGGCCTTGGATGATGGCCTTCTTCTTTGGTTCCTGCAGGCTCTTCTTCTTTTGCTCGAGCAACCATGCACGGCAGGTTGGACGCTGTTCTCGGTGTTGGTGATACAAAAGCCCGAAAGCCCAAGAGGAAACGGCTTGGTCCCAGTCCATGGGTGCCCCTACTGGACATGTCACATTCTTTGGCGTCCATTCTATTGTAATTCTTTTCAAGCGGTGTATAAATTTTGCTGCAATGTCCCCAGGGCCAAAGGGCCCACCTAAATTACAGATGGTCCCATACATGTATTGAATATGGTTGAATGACAATCCCTTGTTACCTATTTGGGATGATTTCCAATGACAGGTATTTTCAGATGGATTGAAGCCACCAAACATCAGTGACATGTTGTTGTTGTTGTTGTTGTTGTTGTTGTTGTTGTTGTTGTTGTTGTTGTTGTTGTTGTTGTTGTTGTTGTTGTTGTTGTTGTTGTTGTTGTATTGCTTAGTGCTTTAGCATCCTTAGCCTTTCACAGCTTCATCCAGCATCCCCGAGAACTAGATTGTCACCCTTGGAGATTCCCTGCGCTCAGGATGATGGATTGGGTGGATGCCGATGTGTCAGACATCATGGAGCAGCGACCTGACTGAATGCTACGGATCAGGGGCCAATAGATTGAAATCATAGTGCCGCAAGAATTTATTGGTTTGCCTGGTTCACGTTTTTTTGTTTAAATATATTGTTTGAAAAAGTAGTAGGGTTACCATGCGGTATCATGCGGTAATCAAACATGGCAAGAGAAAAGTCCCCAGCTACAGAGAATTGTCGCACGAAAAACTTAATTTATGGGGGGGGGATTTCCCACTGCAATACTTGACTACTGGAGGATAAGCACCAACAGCTACTAATAAGATTTACGTTACTGTACTAAGGGCTTCTTCAGCTTCTATGATATTGGCGTTTTATCCCCATGCTTCACCAGGCGTGGATTTTCCAGCAAACTCAGCAAACCATGAAAATGAGATTTCAAGCGTGGAGAATTGAATTATTCCCCTGATCCAATCCATAGTAGACTTAGACCAACATGACTTCGACCGATCCAGGCTGGCCTACCTCAATGACCATCGCATGAAGGTGGGCAATTGGATTGGGTGCCTGAACAATGGGGGGAAACCACCAAAATCCAACGGATTATCTGGGGATTATTAATAGGATTTAATTGGATTGAAATGAGATTGAATGGGATTCAATAAGTTAGTCAGTGGGTTAGTTCAGTCCAGTTATATTATAACTGGACTCACCCTGTTCGCGCTACTTCAAGCTGGGACAAAAACCTACTTACTCGCTGGGGTGAGCAACAAAGTAGCCATGTTCCCCTTTGAAATGACAACTTCCACTTTGTTTGAAACATCATCGCCCAAAAAGTAAAAACATCTGACCACTGTCTGACTTTGTCGATTACATTTTGCGTGTCGCAGCCAGTTTGAATATGTCAGGCTCAAGTTATCGCAGCAATTATCTCGTAATAGTTTCATCTAAATCTATCCATACATATGTAATATAAGCACAATATAAGCACAATTTAAGCATATATAAAGAATATATAAGCATATATGTATGTGTATATATATATATACATAATATATATATATATATATTTATTTGTGTTCCCCGTTGTTGATGGTTAATATACATTGTTTTTCCTGTTGAAACCATCCAGTGTTTTGATGTCCCTGTCAGGCAGCTTTTGCTTTGGTCGCCCAGGCTGGCTGAGAGAGAGAGAGAGAGATATATATATATATAGATATATATCCTCATTGAGAATTGACCCCAGTTACATGTGTAGGATTTGCTTGGATTGATCCGACTTTTCCAAAAAACATGATAGGCAAATCAGGCAAATGTAGGCAGATCATCGGAAATAGGCCATTCCAAGATCTGTATGATTTCTGGGTTTAGTTCACTGGGGTATGAGAGATCCGTAAAGAATGGCATGTGTCAAAAACAGCACAATGTCGTGTGACAGTAAAAAAATCCCCACATAGAAAGCAACAACTGCCACTCTTTCAGTAGGAATTTGCCACATATATGTAGTAGTATGTATATAATTGATTTGTACATAATTAATAGTAATATACCTGTTACATATTACATATACATTGACATGTATACATATGCCCATTTATCATACTTATACATACCTGTATATATATATACATACATACAGTGCATCTCTACATAGTGACCAAACATGGCAACGTTTTTTGGATCCCTTGGGGCGCAGACGCGAGAGACGCGAGAGACGCGAGAGACGCGAGGTGACGCTGGGGCTCAGCGTGCTGTTCTTCAAGAGTGCTTCCTGGGAGAAGAAGAGCTGAGCACAGCGTAGTTAGTACGTGCACTTTTGGTGGCGCAGAAACGGTTTTTAATGATATTAATGATGGTCAATAATGGCTAAGAATAGGATTTATTGGGATTTAATGGGATAAATGGGGGCTCCATAAATGGGGGATCCCTAATAGCTGGATGGTTTCTCACGGAACATCTGAAAAAATGGATGGGAACTGGGGATACCCCCGTGACTTCGGAAATTTCCATGATGATGGTTAATGGTGGTTCATACTATGCTTGATAAGGGTTAATTAATAGTTGTCATGAATGGATTGGTTTTGACCTCCATAAGTTGGGATATGATCCCTACAACTATGGTTGTATAAGCCACTTGTTAGTGGAATTGCAGCCCCAACTAGTCATTATCCAGACAATACAGTCGTGACATGTCATGACAGTGGTCCCCCCGTCACAAGGCCAGGTAATGGTTGGATCGTTCTGTTTCTTGACCTTTGTGAAATTGACTTTGGAGGGTACCCATGACATCATGAAGGACATGAATTTGGATTCTTGAGACTTTCCCTATGTTTTCACACTTGCACATGGTCCGTGTTGAAGGTAGCCATGGACGCCAACTCTTTCTGTTTGCCCAAACTCAAGTGGCTTCACCACAAAAGATGCCTTGTCGTTTCAGGCTTCTTACCTGTTTGATGCATTGCACACGTTGAACTTTTGAAGTCAATGATTTAATTTAATTCAGTGGCCTCAAGTGCCTTCTGAAAGTGCCTCAATCTTAAAACGGGAAAATGTGGACAGCTTGGTGAAGGCAAGATCAATATGTTTGTGTTTTGCCATCCTTGTGGCAAATTATACAACGCCATGACACAGTTGCCATGTCTATAGTGGATTTATCCTCCCAATGGCCCAACGGTAGGTCAAGTGAGTCATTTGACTTTCATTGAAGGCACCCCTCGGATCCTATGATAACCTTTGTTTTTGGCACTGAAAAATCCTAACACAGGAGGTGTCACCGTCTCACCTGGCCGGAAATGAGGGCACTTGGCTTGGCAATAGCTTTTGCAGTGACGTTTCGAATTACTGAATGCCACGGCGCAGCAAGCCCAACTCACCTCCTGATGTGGAGGTGAGAGGTGAAATCGTTTGAAGAGCCTGGGGAAAACCAAGGAAGGATCCCTTGAAAACTCTCATGGGACTGATGTTAAAATGGTGCTGCTTTGAGTAGTGTGATCATGTTCGATGCCCGAAAACATGGCTTTGGGCGGGATGAATTTCTACGGGTTCCATGGGAGTTTTCAGACAATAAGTGGAACACCATGCCAAACTTGGTCAATTGGGCCTTTTCGGGATGGCAAAATTTTGTGGTTTTCCTTGGCGCAGCTCAGTTATTTTTCTGAAATTCAGCCGCACAGTGTGTGATATCTTGAAGGAGTGTCACACTGAAGTGCTTGGATCTTCTTGGTGGTTTCAGTGTGTTTGATGTATTCCTCCAGGAGTCCTTGAAGAAGCACATTCAAGTTGATATGAAGTTGCGGTGAGTTGCTTGGTTTTTTTGTCCCACAGGTGCATTTTTTTTTGAAGCTAAGCCATGCTGTTCGGCACAACGTTGATGGCTCTTGTCTTCGTGCTGAAACCACCAAACCAAAGCGGGATTGGCCATGAATCCGGAAATTCCGGGAAACAGCAACACTGTCTGGATCCACCAACGATTGAGAAATCTGACAGTGGCCAGGAATCCAAGGCAAAGTCATCTTGTAAAGCCATTTTGTGGGGCTTCCGTGTTAGATTTCAGATGGGTTTTCGACCTCAAACAATTATTTATTTATTATTATATATAACCACGCATACATACATATTTAAATATTATATAATAACTGGGGGAAGTTGCTTGCCAGATCTTGCCAGATCACAAATCCGCGGATCTATGAGCCATGAACTCCCCATTAGAATCATCTAGCTCGTCATCCAAAGTCATCCAAAATCACTGAAAATAGTGGACAGTAACAAAGATGGCATATGGGAAAATCATTGAAAAAAGGTTCCCCATTGTTTGCCAATGGTACTTCTGGCACCGCCGTTTCTCTGCCCGGGAACTTGGCTTGCAGCTTACCAAAAACGGCGAATGGCGGGGGTGCTGTCGACAGGGAAGGGGCTTGCGGAAATAATGTGGGGAAAATGCAGTTTGATCTGTTTGACTTTTTTTTTGCGACATTTCTGAGTCGATTGAAGTGTTTTCGTTCTGCCAAGCTCTTCAAGAGTTCCGAAGCACTTGAAGTGCAGGTGTGAGGCGGCGGAGGCTTCATAACCCCCAAATCCATGGTATTTCACGGTCTGCTTTTGGATGAATCAACCTGTTCCTGTTGAGGGTAACCTATCTAGAATATCTATATAATTTATGTAAAGAACAACAATGCTCAATAGGGATTTATATGCCAAGAGGAGTTAATATCTACAAACATCATCTAACATATTTCTGGGCAAATTAGAATGGCTTTCTGACGACCTCACCCAGCTGCTGTGCTCGATCAGGACAGCCTCGTGCCACTTGATGTATCTTAAAACCATGTTTAAAATCCATCGAACATCATCAAGATTGTTTCATACTGTTTCAATGCATTGCAGCTAGTATAGCCTAGTATAGCCTAGTATAGCTAGTGTATCACTTGACGACTTAGACTTCTCACCGTTTGAAAAACGAATCAACCTTTCGCTGTGACCCGATCGAGCAGTGTTCAGGCATGATTCCTAGAGATGGTGACAAGTCGTCGTTTGTTGTTGTCCTTAAATTTGCCTAGTGAACGTCATTTATCACATGATAGAAATAATATATATATATATATCTACATACATTTGCTAGACATTTCCTCATAATATGTGTACCCTACTTATATAGTTTACATTGTATATTAATATATATATATATATGTGTGTGTGTTCCTATCCATCCAAGTTTGAGATTGACTCCCCAGATGATCCCCCAACTGACGAGAAACCAACAAAACATCGGGATTCTGAACAACTGGGGCTTAATCCCCATTTCTGGTTCAGTTTACATCCACCATCCATGGCTAAATCCAGATGATTGGCTAAAGATCATGAACCGTGCTGTAGTTAACAGCTTGGTCCTGTTTTTTTTCCTTTTCTTTCTGGCAGATGAGTGACATTAGTGACCTCCTTGGCTAACACCCCATCAAATAAACGTGGGTTGCTATTCCTGACGATAGCAAGATACCTCACAATATTTCACAATTGAATATAGCAGCCATAATATTTGGTCAATTTCAGAACATGTACACATCCCGTTCCTTTGTGAGTTTTTTAAGCCTCAATCATATCGAAATGATAGCCCAAGGTTTTTTTTCTCCAAGATAGAGCAACCCTCGAAAAGATAGTCTTTCGAAAACAACATCATGGAAGATAGTGAGAACTCTTACTTTGAACTATACAGTATCTTTCTGGGTTTACAGTTTACCCATTTGCCATTCATATTCCTATCATATCCCCATTATGGTTGTCTTATATTCGCGTGTTTCTTAGTCAAATCCCTTATAATCCCATCCCCGTAATATTAAACACTCCCATTCTATGGTTCCAAATATATGATTTGTATATATAAAAAATAAAATCTCTAATATAACGGGGGGAAGGAGTCAGTAGCACTCCCTTCAAAAAAGATAACTAGGTGGAAGGGGGCCCTATGTTTTTACATATGTACCGTTCTATTCGATTATTATATCCCCAAAGTATTCATGACGCATATCATATGCTGAACTCATTGAGAAGGCGATAGAGAGAGAGAGAGAGAGATATATATATATATATACACCGTTAAAAACAAAGTTAGAATGCGGTTTTAGATTCGCGTGATGGTGGCCCGTTTGGCCCCCGCCCCCACGGCAGTCGCATTCTAACTGAAGGATCGCCTGTAAATATGCAGCCACACAGAATGCGGCAGAAAAAATGTATGTCTTGACAGGCATTTTACAGGCGAAATGGAGTTAGAATGCGGTGGTTGAAAAACACACCAATAGCCCATGTCGCACAGTTTTTGCTGGCATATGCACGGAAAGCCTCAGTTAGAATGCCTGCCGTTCATGGTTTGTAATATTTTGTAATTACTCTATTGACAAGTGGGAGCACGAGTTTTTTACAAACGTATCAACATCAATTATGAGTCGAACCTTCAGACAGCCTGCCACTGTTTATCATTCTGCACTCCACAGGTTTTGTTCGTTTCTTTTTCTTTGTTTCCCATTGATCTATATCTGCTGTAGTTTCCGTGGGCATTCTAACTGTTGTTTTCCCCGCTAGGTGCTTGTGACGTGCAGGGAACATGGGCTGCCCTTTCCTCTTATCCAATCTTATCCGCTTCCCTTTCCTTGTCCTTTTTCCAGAAAAACAGTCCAATAATCATATAACTGATAAAATTCATAGTTTGGAGGCATTCTAAGTGAGGGATTTGTGCAACAACGGATCCTCCGAAAACAAAAAACTTAAAAAACGGGCGATGAGGCATTCTAACTGAATGGATTTTTGCCGTGCACGTGCCACATTCTAACTGAGGGGGAGAAATATTTGGAATTCGCGGCGGCATTTTAACTTTCACTTTCGGCATATATATATATTACATATATATATAATATAATATTATATATTATATATATAATATTATATATATGTTAATAATATTATATATATGTTATATATATATATATATCAGGATACAAACCCCTATAATAAACATAGGGATGTGCTGCACGCAGGTGCGGCCATGGCCTGGCGATGGCCGGGAGCCGGTGACTTAGGGCCCTATAGGGGCCCGCTCTTGAGCGATGCGGGGATACACTGCTGGGAAGATACCAAACCGTTTCATCAGGAAATCATGTGAACATCATGGGAAGATCATGGGCCATGGGAATATGTATTTTGTTGGGTGTGCCAATGTGTTGACAAATGGGGCAGACCCGCAATTTAAAGCCACTTAAGCTCAACATCCTGCAGGATGGTGTATCATATGGTATCATTGATC